CGTGCCACATCTTTATGGTGGGTGTCAGTTTGCTTCATGTATGGATTGGAGGGGTTTAAAGTGGCTGATGATGCAGCTGTGGACTGGCTTCTAGTTTGTGGTCGTGCCTCATCATCTGTGTGGGTTTGGGTTTGCTTTTTGCGTGGATATGTGGTGGTGACATCCTGTGTGGTTTTCGTGAGTGTGGGTCTGGTGTCATATATATATATATATATATAAAACCGAGCACCAAGAGAAGTAAAGTATAAAAGTTTAAAAATTTACTGAGCCAAGCTTTCGTCAGAACCCGTCTGACATCATCAGGGCGTTAAAACAGCAGTCTGGGAGAAACCCTTATAAAGTGTGTGTGTCAATTGCTTGCATCCGGCTTCTGCTACGCTTGAGTGGTGAAAGAAGGAGGAAGAAAGGAACCAGCACGCTTCGGACGGGGGGAATAGAAAGGGTTACGCCCACCTGGAGGACGGGAGTGGAGGAAGTTGTTGAAACACTTAAAGGGACCCCCTACACGGGAGTAGGCACCTTGCCTCTAGCACGGCAGGAGCAGCTGGGTCCGATGATGCGTAGCAGAAGCCGGATGCAAGCAATTGACACACACACTTTATAAGGGTTTCTCCCAGACTGCTGTTTTAACGCCCTGATGATGTCAGACGGGTTCTGACGAAAGCTTGGCTCAGTAAATTTTTAAACTTTATTTTTCTTTTAGAGCACCCTGTCGGCCCAAATATGGGAAAGAGAAATCTTTTGCCTGTATCAGCTCAACCTAGAGCCATCCACAGGCAGCAGTCGCTAACTGCGACATCATATGTGTTCCAAAATTTGAATTGCTAACAAAGAATTAAGGAAGAACTTAATTAAGAGGATGAGTGCTTTTTTTTTAACACCCTGTCAGCCTAAATATGGGAGAGAGAGAAGTCTCTCACCCATATATGGGTGTTCAAAAAAAAGCACTCATCCTCTTCCCCTGTCTCTTGTAGCTAACAAAGCGAGAAAGAACCTGTGGCCTAGGGGCTAATGCTTCTGCTTAACATGCAGACAGCCCAGGTTCGAATCTCAGAAGGGTATGTCTGACTGATGAAAACCAAATAAGGTTACAAATAGCTATCTCAGTACTCCCTTAATTCTTTGTTAGCAATCCAAATTTTGAAAAACACATATGATGTCGCAGTTAAGCGACTGCTGCCTGTGGATGGCTCTGGATTGAGCTGATGCAGGCAAAAGACTTCTCTCTCTCTCCCATATTTAGGCTGACAGGGTGTTCAAAAAAAAAGCACTCATCCTCTTCCCCTGTCTCTTGTAGCTAACAAAGCGAGAAAGAACCTGTGGCCTAGGGGCTAATGCTTCTGCTTAACATGCAGACAGCCCAGGTTCGAATCTCGGAAGGGTATGTCTGACTGATGAAAACCAAATAACCTCGTGATTGGGCCCAACCGATCCTCCTGCATTCGGCTCCTAGTTATCATATCGCCAGCTGACACGTCCGTGCTTCTCCCCTCCCCACCTTTGCTCTTTTTCTTACTTGTTCGTATACTAGGGGGGGATTCAATCCTACACCCAGGGTACCCCCTTGTTGTCCATTACCCCCATCTCTCTTCCTAACCCTACGTGTCCCAGCTTCCTTCCCCTTTCTCTCATTCCCAGTGACCTCCTCTACCCCCTCATTCACACCGTGTACCTCAACCACACTACATCTCACTCCCCCCCAAGCCCCCATCTCCCTATCCTCCTCCTTCCTACCCCCAATCTCACCATTCAATCCACCGTCCATGGGTATACCCATGACGGCTGGGAGGACGGGAGGGGGACTCAGTAGGGCCCCCCGTTCGCAACCGCCACATCTGGCGTGAGGTTACGAGCAGTAACAGGGGAGTGGTGAGTGAACGTGGACGGCGTGAGGGCTACACTCCCCTCACGGAGGAAAGAGCACGCACGTAAGGAAGGATTGAGGTGCGTAAGACTGGAGGAAGGGGGAGGAGAGCAAAGGTTGTTCCTCCTCAGCCATCTCCTTCAGCGTGCCTCCCTTCCTGCCTACGCGCATTCTAACCTCCTTCCCCCTCCTCTCGTTTCCAATTCCCTCCTCAACCGTCTCATTCCTCATTCTAGCTTCTTCCCCCCTCCTCTCGTTTCCAACTTCCTCTTCAGCCATCTCCTTCAGCGTGCATCCCTTCCTGCCTACACGTATTCTAACCTCCTTCCCCCTCCTCTCGTTTCCAACTTCCTCCTCAGCCATCTCCTTCAGCGTGCCTCCCTTCCTGCCTACGCGCATAACCCCAACCAAACCCTGAGGTCCAAGGTGATGAGACCCAAGGACCCCCTCCCCACCGTGGAGAGGTCGGGTGTTGTCTATAAAATCAACTGCAGAGACTGCCCTGCCAACTACGTAGGAGAAACAGCCAAAAGAGTAAAAACTAGAGTGCACGAGCACCGGCTGGTGGTTAGAAGAGGGGAGCAGTACTCACAAATATTGGCGCACATGGAGGAATTGGGGCACAGATTTGACTTTGAGAACGCACAGGTGGTTGCTATGGATGGTACAAAAGGGAGGAGTCCATTAACCGCCATGTGGATCTGTGCCCGGCGCATACCACCCTACGAACTTGGTCCATGGGAGGCTGTCCCCTCAACAAGAAACCACCTGATGCCCCAGTGCGCACCCCAGGGAGGGAAGCAGCGAGAGGTGCAAGCCCCGTGTGCGCCCGAGTGATGAGCAACCGACCGCCACACAATCGCGTGGGGATGGAGAAGTGGATGGAAGGGCGTGCCAACAACGAGAGACGGGTTGACAGTGATTCAAGTGCCCCCTGCCACCTGGTGGGAGGCCGTGCCAGGGGGCCACCCCCCGTGGAGCCCTGGAGACAGGAGAGGGTGGAAGAAGGAGGATTGGATACCCCCCCGCAATTCGACGGTCAACGGTGGCCGCGGGACCACCCCCTGGAAATCCCCCCTGCCCTGCCAGCATAAGGGGGACACGTGGAGACAGGGGAACAGCAACATACAATTTTAGGACGTCCACACGCTCCCAGAGGGGCTCGCACAGGAACGGCTCCCCTAGCGCGTGTGCAAAGGGGTGTGAGAGCTGGGGGGTGGCTAGCTCCGCCCCCCCAACACGGAGGACACCAAAGAGGACGACCGGGTGACCCCGGGATACGGGGGATGTGAGTGGGTGGGAGAGGGTGCTCCCCTCGTAAAAAGAACGCCGCACGAAGGAGAAGACGGGACTGTGGACATGACGGTGGGGGTGCGCCCCGTAGCGCCAGCCCGCTGCCATCAGGAGGCTGCTGGCGGGGCTGCCGGTGTGACCAAGCACCCCCCCACGAACGAAGGGCTGGAGAAGGCTGAGGGTCATGGGGGTAGGAGGGCGGTGCACGAGCCTGACAATGGGACGGGTAGGATGCGCCCCCGGGGGGTAGAAGAACGCGCTAGATACGGATGGTTAGGGGAGTAGAAGAAAGAGAAGAGAGATTCGGCAGGGAAAGCTAGCAGCGGGGATGGTGAGCGCGGGCGGCAGAGTCTTCCTGCGACCGCGCTGAGTGCGAATGACTTGCCAGGAAGGAAGAGGGGGGATTGAGGTCTGGTGGGGTACATTGAGGGTAAAGCTGGAGTACATTCTAGTATAACCGGCCCAGTGACGAGATCGAAGAGTCGTGCACACGCCCTAATTAAACCTATAAAGGGACTAAGCCCTGAAGATGTCAGCGGATGCCGACGAAAGCTAGGCACTTTTATTGATTTCTATGTATTTTAAAGGTTTTTAATATTCTTAAGAACTTTTACCTTTAAATTATTATTATTAAATTATTTATTCCCTGGTGCTCACGTCTATTGACTGACTTTGAACATGGATATACCAGGGGATCACATTTTTAAAGTAATTTTGGAGATATATGTGTATGTATGTATGTATGTATGTATGTATGTATGTATAATGCTACATGGCTACAAAATTCACCAGAATCTCTCAAAAAGCATTAATGTCTAAGTTCTAAAACAATCTTATCTAGATTTATTTTCAGTCATCTTACCTAAATCACTTGCAATTTCATCTGGAACTGGGACTTTCAGATTCTGCATAAAATAAAAAGTAAAGAAAATTCTTCTTTTGATCAATTCTGAGATTAATGTTCTTCCAGCTCCTGAGTTCCACTGAGTGTACATCATTCCAAGGTGCATGTATGTGCACAATAACAACACACATAAAAATCTTTTCCCATTCAGGTAGTCCTCGACTTATGAGCACAACGGAGCCCAAAATTTCCATTGCTAAGCATGGCCGTTATTAAGTGAGTTTTATCCTACTTCTGACCTTTTTGCCACAGTTGTTAATTGAATCACACGCTCATTAAGCGAATCCGGCTTCCTCCACTGACTTTGCCTCTTGGAAGCCAGCTGGGAAGGTTACCAATGGTGATCACATGACCCCAGGACAGGGCAACCATCCTAAGTACATGCCAGTTGCTAAGTGTCCAGTTTTTGATCATGTGGTCCTGGGGATGCTGCAACGGTCGTGAGTGTGAAAACAGGTCATCAGCCACTTTTTTCAGTGTCATTGGGCTTCAAATGGTCACTAAATGAATGGTTGTAAGTCAAGGATTACCTGTACCCATTTCCCTGGATCTAAAACAAAATGTAATCTACCTTCAAAGCATGAGTGATTCGGTCCCCCCCCCCAAAAAAATGAGTTACCAAGCATGGCTGGTGATCTAATTTCAAAGATTCCAAGCCCACCAAAACAAGAAATAGAAGATTAAAACAAGAACGTGTATCCTGTAGGTTTCCTGTATGTGTTTGGAACTTACTGCAGCTCGATCCAGAAAAAATTGATTAAATTCAGCAAACACTCGACGAGTCTCTTTGGAATTTGTTTGTTTGTACAGGTCTGCAAACAGGTAACAGAGCTGCATGGACAGAAAACAATAGTACAGTAAATGATTAATATTAAGCAGAAGCTTAATTCTACCTACAAGTGTTTCTTTCAGGTTTTAAAGGGTGTTTTCCAGGGATGAAATCTTCTCAAGGGGTTAGAAAATAATATTTTTTTTCTTAGGCATTAATTTCTGTGACCAAGCTTCGCACAACATTTATAGTATTAGAACAAAATAGTTGTACCCTACTCAATCGATATCAGCCTTCCTCAAACTGATATCCTCCATATCTATTGAATTGCCTGACAGATTACAGTGGCTGAGGTGAGATTGAAATTGGTTCAACATAGCTGGAAGGGGACAAATTGAGAAAGATATACTTAGGCTGAATGGAATTTCAGAATCCATCTGATCCATAACACAGCATCTTACCAAAGAAGCAGGGTCAAACTGGGAGATGACATGATGCAAAAAGACAGCCAGGTGAGCAGGACGTGATTTCAGTAGCTCTATATTCTGGAAACAGCTACACTGCCCATTGATCTGTAGTGACAGCATGGATATTTTCAGAATGAGTACTCCATACTCATGGAATACTTCATATTTCCTCCATCATAAAACCCCCATCCTGTTATTTTTGTACTAATGTGCATCTTTAATATTTTTAAACCACAAACCTTTTTCTCTGAGACTCCCTTATGAATCTCCAGAGAACCAAAAGCACGCATAATGAGAAAGTAGTTCTTATATGCTGCTGCCAAAATTCAAACCAGATAGACAGTTTAGGTCTAAGGTAAGGCACTTTATATTGGTAAATCTTATAATCATATACTTATAATTTGTAATCAGTATAAAGTACTAAGGTACTTTATATACTGATTACAAATGAGTATACAAAACTGCTTTCACAAACCCTTTAGGAAATTGAAGTTGTTACTGGAAACCTATCAGTATATCTTTCAACAAACGTCAACAGAATTTCCTTAAAATGAATCCTCTATCCAACTTTGGGGTCATGGTGGTAGTAAGGTCAGATAAATTAAACTGAAGAAAGTAATCACATGACAGCTTTGCTACTATGGTTGGCAGGCTAAGATCATACCTGTTCTTGTTCACCATCAAAGTCATCATCTTCTGCTCCTATGATTGGAGGTGCCACACGAGAGGAAGGGCTTCCAAGGCTGGATGGAGAATCCTGACATTGTCAGAGAAAAGAAATCAGTGTAGTTTCTATTTCAGTGTGTGTGAATATTACAAGGGCATTTTCCCTTGACAGTTCTATACACTAGAAAAAAACAAAGATTTTTTTTTTTTAGAAAGCATTTGTGGATAAGCATTATACTTCTTGGTTCCAGTACATTGTACACACTGTGAGCACCTATATAAAATAATCCGATCAAATAAAAATGAAGTGTTCTATCAAAACCGCTATTGTTCACATTAAACCAAATGACGCAATCCGCTACTGAAAGTAAAGATAGCTTTTGTTAAACAGCTGCACAGCCTGCCCTTAAACCAAATATCTGAGCCACTACAGAAGCTGGTACTTTCACTGAAGTACTGTTATATGGAGGAGTGTAGACTGTCCAGAAAAAAAAGGCAGTGGAATTTGAAGGAGGGAGGAGGCAAAGAAAACATTGGGGGCCTACATCCTTTCCAGCTGGATTGCTCCCTTCCTACCGTGGAGCCATTAACCCAAACTGCCCTGTAGGAAAGAAAAAAAGTCAGATGTCAGGTCCCGTTTTAATGGAGCTGGCTGCTTTGTTTTGTTTGCAGTGTGTGATTCTTGCTGAATCTGTTATATGCTTATAAACATTGTCATCTGATTTTGAGGACTTTGAAAAACAGGATACACATCTGCTAAGTAAATTAAAAACTGGTATGTGGAACACCGCCATGCCAGTCCAGTAATAAACCCTCCCCAACAAATTACAGAACCATGGGGAAAACTTTCTTTGCTTAAGAAAAACCGGTGTCCTGCCACTTGATTTTGGCCAGATGTGGTGGTGGACGTTTAGAGGGTGAAAACTTGAGCTAAAAGGCCTGTTCAATGAATGTTTTCAATACAGAATTACATGGCGTGTTTGTGTTACAACTGATGCTTCTTGACATAATACTGTGAAGTTAATATCTGCATGTCTTTGAAACTTCCAGGGTTGCTGGTTCTCTTTCCTCAGAGGAAAGATACACATTCTCTTCCTTAATACCAAGGCAGAACTAGTCAAGCATGGCTGCTGCCTTTGTCTTTGGCAACTTTAAGACTTGTGGACTTCAAATCCCAGAATTCCCCAGCCAGCCATGCTGCCAAGGTTGGACACCCCTGGATTAGAAGCTGCAAACTTTGTGCCTTTTTATAAGAAGGCCTGCCTACCAAGTCAGGAACTCAGATCATGGATATAAAGGAATAGTCGCTTGTCAAGTGTACATACAGACACAGAGCATTAATCTCTCTCTCACACATACACTTAAGATTAACAGACTGGGAGACCCTCTGTAGGGTAAGAGGAAGACATCTCTCCCAGCTTTGCCACCAGGGACAGAAGTGTTGGAAACAGAACTTGAAAATGCCTGCAGATAAGCAAATGTCGAGGAGTCATTTTCCATGAATTGTAATGAGAAAGTTGCACTGCTAGCTACAAAATCTTAACAGATGGAAGTATTCAATCAAGAACAAACAGCAACATGGATTTCTGAAATCTTTGAGCAGTCTCACTTTATAAAAACCTAATTAAAAGTTGAGCATGCATCTACAAGGTCAAAAATCCAATGGCACCTCAAGAAGAGAAAGAGGAAGAAAGAACACCGAATTTGTCCATGGCTAGTGCAGAGATTTCTATCAGAATATTTATGGTGCTCTTACTGTTTCATGAGTCTCAGTCTTCTCTGGGCTGTCATCCAGATAGCTCTGCTCTCTCAAGACACTCCGAGGACTCTGAGGAGAAGAAGTGAAAGAACACTCCCTCAGTGTTTACTGTGTTAAAAAGGAAGACCCAACAAAAGAAAATAGCAAGTCCGGCAGCTATAATTTAAAGAGGATGTAGGAGACTAACTTTAAAAAAAACAAACAGATTTGGGCATATATATTGTTAGATGCTTTCATTCAACCTTGCTTTCATATGTTCCATTGTATACATGTCAAATGTTGATAATTTTAATTTCAATGTCTTCTCTGACTGCTTTTAATTCTGTATGAGGCATAAAACTAGCACATTCTAATAACATTCCAGTTCGTTTTGAAACACAAACTCAAGTCAGACCCTGTAAGGCTCAATGGTTCCTTAAGGGAATAAAAATAATACATTTCCAAAATCAGCTCACAATACATGGAATCTTGTTTTCTCTTTCCACAGTGGATTCAGAATCTCCAGTCAGACTCTACCAACAGAACGTTATCCAGTTTGACGCTATTAGTAAGTACCACAATGCTGAATTTAATCTTCACAGTGGCAATAAACAGTTTTGGTTCACAAACAGAACCACTGCAATTCATTGGTGGGGCCAGTTTAAAGACCACACTAAGATAACCAGTCAATTGTAATGACAGGAAGCACACACAAAGAGCAGGAATTTAACAAATGTGAGCTTATGTCATGCTCATTCCACAGTTCATATTTTGGGAAGGTCATAAGTTCTTGTCCCTCAAAGCTTCATAGTACTAACATGGGATTTTACTTGTGCACAAAGTCTGACTACCACACTTTAGTCTTGTCAGTTATCTCCAACATTTGCAGGACTGGGTCAACAGCTTTTGACCCATCTCCTGAACCCAGGTCAAATGTTTGTCTCACTCCAGTCAAAAGGAATGTCCAAGGATAGGAAACTATGCTAGATTCATTTATTCAGATTCTTTTATGAGATTACAATTTTCTGTCTGCTAAAATTTTCAAAAGGTTTCTGGAAAAGCATCAAGTATTAATCAGTACATTACAAAATCCCTTGATAAGGATGAAAGGTGGCAAAGCAAAACCCAATTTTCAATCTTCCAGAACACTGTTTGACAAAGACTGCGTAAACCCAGATTTTTCTGAAATACTTTGAGTTCTGTTGGCTACTAATAATTACATATGGAGAGAAATTGTAATACACAGTTGCCAAATGTTTTTTTTTTAATGTAACAACTGAGGAGAAGAAGGAGGAGGGTAAGGAGAATAAAAGAACACAAATATAGAGTTGCTGTTGTGAGCACAAACAGGAAATTCCAGCTCAATCAGGAAGCTTATTTGCTACCTGTAAACATTTCTATCTTCTTACTGTCAGGGCAGAGAATATAACAAAATAAATAAACATAGCAGCATTCTGCTTACAGATAGTCCCCAACCAGTCATTTAGCACTCATTCCCAAAAAAAAGTGACTTACAACTGGTCTTCGTACTTAAAATTGTTACAGATTCCCATGGTCACATGATCAAAATTCTTATGCTTGGCAACCAGCATGTATTTACAATGACTACAACACACCAGAGTCATGTGGCTGCCATTTGTGATCTTCCCAGCTGGCTTCTGACAAGCAAAGTCAATAGGGGAAGCGGAATTCACTTAATGACTGCATGATTCCCCTAAATGCAATTATTTGCTTAATAACCATGACAAAGAAGGTTGTAAAATTAGGTATGACTCATTTGTTTAGCAATGGAACCTCTGGTCCCAACTGTGATGTTAAGTGGAGGATTACCTGTACTGGACTCTCCCTCCTTTTAGCTGAGGAGAAACACAGAGCTTTGCCCTATCTCACTAATAAAACATCCATTTTATTTTTTCTCAGTCAAGAGCTCACCTCTGCTGCGTCATTCACTTGGGGGCCATCACCAAAATGACAGTCTGCTTTGTTTTGTCCATCCCCTCTCTCAGCTTCCACCTCAGTGATCTGCAAAGACTCGGATACAGATTTGGAAGACAAAACGACATCCTGAAAGCAAACAAAATGAGGTTAAGAAACAGCAAACCCCTTAATAAAACATTCAGACAGTCCACTGCAGGTGACCATGTAAGATTTGGCAGGCCCACCTGCTCAGAGAACTATTTAATTATTTGTAAACAAGCAAGCAAAACAAATGATAACCCCTCAGCTTCTTCATAATTTAAGGGATACACAAAAAGATAAAAGCGGAGATAGCTGCCCTGCAGCTATAAGCCTAAGTGCCCCCCAACCAGACTCTCTTAGCAGAGTGACAGGGTGTAATTCGTTATTGCAAGGCTCTAATTTCTGCTTAGAAGGCTCTGCCCATCAAAACCGGTTTTCATTAGCTAAATGAGAAGTCAGTGCTTGCATTTATTTGCGCATCCTTTGATTTGCTATCCTTGGATGACTAAATGGGCAAAGTGCTGCAAGGCGTGGATGAGAACAGCTCGTTCTCACACAGCATTCCCAGCTAAGACAGCCCTGATCCAGACCATAAGCCTTCCGATTCCTATTACCTGAGCAGAGCCTGTTGCTTTGGACAACTGTTCCTGCAGCTGAGGGATGTGCTTCTTCGCTTCCTGGATCTCTTTGAGCAGGCGGGGAGCCGGAGCACGGTTGTAGTCTTCCTGCAGGAACTGAAAGGGTTTGATGATAAGCGGAATCATCGTCATCATGGTTCCCTGCCTGCTTTTTTGAAGACCAGGTTTGGTAGTCAGGGAGCCAGCTGCTGGCCCAAGCAAGTCTTAGGAAAGCCCTGTTAACTGTCTTACAATGGCTGGGCCACCCTTGAAGTTAGAATTCAGCCTCCCAATGAGTATTGCTGAGATGTACCACTTATTCCTCTAATAGGTAAGACAGATTTCATCTCAGACTGGATGGGAAACGTGTTTCTAAGTGCTGCTGATTACAACTATGTTATTTAGGTCGTAGACTCCCCAATCTCGACTTAAAGGGTAAAAAGCCATTCTACCAATTTGAACAAGGAATTTCACCAAGTCATTCCATCTCCCAAACGTTTCTTGTTTCTTACCAGGAGCATTTTCTATTTTGCAACCAGGACACAGAATATTATGTTAGTTTAAATGGCCACCCCTGACTTTTTCATTAGTTTACTTTTTTGGTACCTGTAGTCGTTCCTGTTCTTTCTGCAGCATCTTCCTCAAAATCTCTACTTTCTGGCTGTGAACAATGTTATTTTCCTCCTAATAAGAAAAGATGGGCAGTTCTCATTTACAAACATAGTCTGCCTGAACTTGACCAGATTTTCCACAACATACAAGTCTAACAATCTTATTAAGCATAACAACAACAAATCTTAACTAAGTTTTAATCAGATTCAACTATTAGTTCAATTTTATTCCCGTATGTTCCTCTTTCTCCTACTGCAATAGAAAATCATGAACATGGAAGAGTTCCAGAATAGGTATCTTAATTACAAGCAAAGTAGGGCAAAGGACCTTTTCCAGCCATATAGTCTAATCAAAATAAATGAATATCTTACCCCCATCAGCACTGGACTGGTAATTCTCTCTGCATTTCCATATGATCCAGGAGAGTGCGGTGATGTCATGATGGGAGACATATGCCCAAAGGCAGCTGAGTCCACCTCAGAATCAGCCAGTGGAATCTGGGGCGACCCAGGTGGGCGCCCTTGCACAGTGAGCGCTACATAGGAACCAGCTGTAGACAGAAGATGAAATTCCATTATTTGGGAGAATTCCATTATTTGGGAGAAGAGGGACAAGGAAGACTGGGTTTATACTTCCTGTTTGTTTTTTTTAAAAAAAGAATGGGATCCACTGAAGGACTACTATGGCTTGACCTCAAGTGCAACATACCAAGGCAAGTTTCCCTCCACAGAATTGTATAGGTATTTGAGAAAAGACAAACAGTGGTTTTGCATAAGTAGATTAATTCAGTACAATCACTGAGATGTGTCAGCGATCCAATCTGCCTGTCTGATCATAAATTCAAGTATGTCAAATTTATTCAACTCTTTTATAGTTGTGGTGTTGAACTAATAGCCACAGTTTCAATCATGAGGGCAGAAAAGGGGTTGCTTTGAACCAATCTGTTGTTATTTAAACTTCATCTTCTTTAAGAGATACTAAGGAAGAAGGAAGTGGAATGGAGAAGACTGGAACAATGAATCAGAACAGCACAGCACAGACAAAACCCTGATATGGACTCCAAGCAACTGGATCAATTGTGGATGATTGACAGAACAAAAATAGAACACTGGAACACAGTACATAGTGGAAGTCATCTGTCAAAATATATTCAGCAGTCTTGAGGGTTTTTAAATAAATGCTTTCCAAAACAATACTCTTAGTTTTTCAAATATGTGATATTTTAATACCATTGCTAAAATCAAATTCCTGAAAATATCATGACAGTTTGACCTCCATCATCTCTCCCTGAAATCTCTTTAAAAAATATAGTGTAGCGCAGTGCAATGTAGTGTAGTGTAATATAAAGTAGCCTGAAAAGCATTTACTTACACTTTATCAGCTTAACCACCTCTAAATGGTTGGAATGTGTTACCAAAGTTCCGTTCACCTACCAAAAGATAACAAATATGCTTATTTTGATTTTCAGCTTGACTTAGATGACTGGACTGAACTCCCAATCTACAGAACTAAACTGATTTAACTTCCTCCATGCTCTTTATTGGGAAATCTGTTACAGTATCATGGTGAACAAAAGTATTGTCCAAGATTCCAGCACTTCTTTTAAAAACAAAATCATCATATAGAGCATATATTTGTAAAACAATAGAAAAAAGACTGTAATTTTAGAGATTCTGTTAAGTTAAGAAAGTGGGGGGAAAATAAACTGCAGTTATAAACAGGAATTCTGGCTTTACTTTCATGTATATGTCATTCAGGTTTTAAGGCCTTTTTGAGGACATGAAATTGGAACAAAGTGCCATTTATATCAGCCTACAAAGCAAAATTATTTTAAAAAGCAGCTGGAAACAGGCACTTATTGCTCACAGTAAAGCACTAATTTAAGTCCAGTGGACTTCAGATGCTCAAATACCTATGCTCAGACTGTCTCTTTCTTTTTGTCTCTAACTCAAACCCCCTTTTGGGTATAGGCCTGTTTTTGTTTTTGTTTTGTTTGAAAAAAATAATTTGCCACTTAATATTCAGCTTTAACAAATACCCCTCCCTGCATCTGTACATCAAAAGGATTTATTTGTATTACTAATTCTGAATATAGATAGCCTGCATTTCAAACTGTTTCCGAGAGGTTAGGTTTAGCAAAACATATGCAGTGATGAAAACTACTGAAGCATTCCTAGTTCTTACCACCTTCAATTTATTCTTCCAACACTTAATTATCCTACCTTAATGATTCGGTCACCAGTTTGAACCCCAGCCCGCATGGCTGCTCCATCTAGAGAGAAGATTTAGCTACTTAGCAATCAATACATAATTTCTAGCATTTCCAGTTATGCAAGGTATTGAAGAAAAAGAGTCTTGTTAGCAAAAAAATAATAGAAAGGGTGTGGTAGCATCGTTTCCAATTAGTATGTTTTACTTAAAGACATAAGCTTTTGGGAACTTCAGCTCACAAAACTCATCCCTTTTAATAAAATTTGTTAGTTGGAATATGTTCTGCCAGAGTCCTTCCCGTTACGCAAGGGCCACACTGAACAAAGACTTAAGCATGTTTTCACAGCAGACAGCACATTTATATTTCAAGCATTACAGCTGCATACTGCAAGATTTGTCTGACAGAAGTATAACAGGCAAAGTGGTCCTGAATCAGCCTACTTACCTTCTTTGACAGATTGTACAAAGACTGGGTTGTCACCACTGACTGTTAACCCAAATCCATTTTCATCCCGCTGAATAATAACACATCGTTGAACTAGACCTGGATAGGAAAAATTAAAAAATGACAATGAGATATCAGTATAGACATCAGCGAAAAGTCATATGTTGGTGAAAGTTTCTCAAAGTCCACCAAATAGAAGAAAACCAAAAATGGAAGATCTGGATAGAAATCAGAAGATAGCAAATTTGTGCCGTTCAAATACTGATTATATGAAATAGAGATAGCAAGTAGAAGTTTGCTTTGGTACATTGATCATATTAATAAAAGGAGAATATTTGTAGCACAGGGTTGAAATGAGGAAGTCCTTGGTGCTCTCTGAGCTTGGTTGTTACTATGTTACCTAGTTTGGGTAATGAAACGTCTGCAAGAAAACAATCAAGTTCAGAGAGAACCAAGGCCCCTCAATGATCATACTCTAAATATAAATATTTTCAAAATTGTTCTTTAAATACATAGTTTGGCACAGTGATTAGAATGCAATTTTGCAAATAAACTCTGCCCACTGCCAGGAGTTCAATCCTGACCGGCTCAAGGTTGACTCAGCCTTTCATCCTTCCGACATTTATAAAGTGCTCAGAGAATGTTGTAATGTTATTGCTATTGCTATGAAATCATTCTATACATATAACCTTTCCAAATAAAATAGATGAAATGTCTTATTCTCAAAAATGACTGAAGATTCACATACTCAAATGTGCATGATTCATACATCTTTCCACTAGCAGGAAAGTAACCACTAATAAGCTATTTAAATTCTCAGGGAGTGGAAGCTGATCATGCTTTCAACTCATTATTACCAAGTAAATTACAACCTTGTACACTCAACTGCAAGGAATGATCAGTCAAGTTGCTAATCTATTAAATGCCATGAAGGTCCATTTTGTATTCATTCAGATATTTGCATCTTTAAAATATTATCTATATTTCAGCAAAACCTTAATTACAACGGATGCAATCTGTTTTTTTTCCCCTCAAAAAGAGGTTGATCATTTTAATCAGATGTGGGCTACACCACATCTGACTTCTTTGGTGTATCTAACTCCAAATACCTTTCTTTGCATTTATGTTCAGTGACAGCTCAGATTAAAAAATCTTAATTATCAAAGATGTATTTCACTAATTGATCTAATTAAGCAATACTTTGATGTAGTCAGGAATCACAGGTTATGGGAATCAGTACAGAGTGATTGATTCCACTCATATTCTCTCTTATTCATGGATACATTTGCGTTGAGTCACACTAAGGAGCTGGACTACTTTTTTCTTTTGGTATGATTTTAAAACTGACAATCAAGTAATCAAAGTCTAGATTTGTTTCACAAGATGTTATCTTGGCAACAAGCTATGAAAACAGCTGGTTATTTAATTAATAACACTTCTTATAAACTGTGCCAGGGTTCCCCAGCACAGGGTATGCCAATGGCAGTGATCACAGGTTAACATCATCACATCTCTTAATGCAAAGATTCTCTAAAGATACTGCCAATTCTAGATTGAAAATTGCCTGTTTCACTGTCTCTTATTTGTGTGGGAAAAGATTGTCAAGCTAATAGATTTTATTGCCTAAATTTTACTGAGAACAAAGAGATTTTTTTTATTAAATATAGTGTCCAAATTGCTCACTGTGTAGCTTCTTTTGTCATAATATTAGGCATAAAATAGCTGAAGGCTGTAATAAGTGTAAAGGGGATTTCTTTACTTAATGAGGTAAATACTATCCAAACTCAATGAAGATTAACTTTAATGTTTTGTCTCTTGATCTGGGTAAACCCTGTGTTACAGACCATCAATACATGGATAATAAAGTAGAACAGATACAGACTGATTTTTTTTTATTATTAAAATGTGGCTGTATGTTTAGGAAGCTGCCTCATAACTAAGACAAATAATTGACCTGAATAAGAAAGTGGGAGAAAAGTGCAAAAGCATCCAATTTCTCAGATAATTGGCCAATTAACTTCAAATACAAAATTATGTAATACTAGAACAAAATTAAAGCATTCATCCAAACATCACCGGATAGAGCTCTATCAATGCAGCTATTTAGAGCACATATGTGATGGGTGAACCAACTTTTAATAAGAATAAAATCTGATACAGCAATAATTCTTGATAAATACGATAGCCTGCAAATTCATTACATAAGCAATTGCTCACACCTAATGAAGAATTGAAGGATATTTTTTTCTCTGCCATGCACTAATTTGATTTTTTTTAAAAAAACTTCTAACAAAATACAGAGAATAAAAATGTAAACGCAAGCTATCTATCGACTATTTTCCAAAGAAGGCTAATTGGATAGTCTATTCTGGTTTGTATTCTTGGTTTAACCATGGTATCAAAGTAATGTCCAAAGTTGTTTGATTCAGAATAGAATTGGTTATATTTCTGATTTTAAAAAAATCCAAAAACAAAAGAAATCTTGAGTATCACTTTACTTCTAATTTTTAAGGAATTAAATATAATTAGCCTTAACTCAAAACATGGTGTTGAAGGTCAGGCGTAGAGAAGAAATAAAGCCTTTTTCTACAAAAACAAATCAAACCACTATTAATATAAAATTGCCTAACAGACAAATCTTCCTAGAAAAATCTTTGCCAATTTCAATCATGATCCTGAATAGCTTCTTTTGCTGTGACTATCTTCCTAATTTTGTTTCCAAAACTGCTATTGATTAAATGTTTTGGAATAGACGCCTTGTGACACTTTCTAGAAAATTCACAAATATAATTTAAGAACACATCAAAAGGAAGGCTTTAAAAAAAGGAATTGGTATCAATCCAGAGGAAGATCTTCAACTGATTAAAATTGTATTATGTTATACTGTGATTATAAAAGCAGAACCAAGAATTTTAAAGTGTGTTTTTTGCTTATAGTTATTGCTTACAACTATGATACAGAAAGACCTAAATAAATGAAATGGAACAGCACAAAGTATCCACTTGGAAAGTAAAGCGAACAAATGTATAAGAGATTTATTAACCTCAGTTTTTGTTTTCATGATGTCTAGCATATGCAACAGTGTGTTTTAAAAGTTGTAAAGTTGATTGAAATAAGTGGTAATTTTAATGGCTGGGTGATTAGAGTTCCTTGATAACTAAAAAATAAAACTAAGTCAAACTTGTGTCAAATTGTTTGCATTTAACTCAAGATCTGTATGATTTTCTGTTAGGAAACTATAATTTTTGTAAAAAAACTTGATTGCAACATGCTTTCTTAGAAGCATTTAAATGTCTAAAATTACTTTTCTTGAGATGCCAACCAAAATAATTACCAAATAATGCAGATTCAAGATAAAGGCTTGGAACTGTGCTGTAGATCTCTTTCTTCAGAATGTAAAGTAAAATAACATTTAATCATTCTATAGCATACATCCTTTCATGTATTAAGAAAGAGAAAGACTGAAAAAAGTTTGATCCACGCTAAAATAGTATTCCTTACTTACATCTTTACATATAGCAATCAAAGTCTATGGACCTTTCATTCAGAAAAAGAATTTCAACAGTTTTCACCTCAAAAAGGTAACTGCCACACCTTTAATCCCTTTAATAGATATTTTTTCCCAATGTCCAAAAGCAAGCAGAAAGACTGCAGTCATCAGCAATATAAAGCACAGCATTTTCTGCTGGAAGGTTCTTAAATAGCTACTCCTATCCAAAGCAAATATTGCAAATGTTCCACACAGATTTCAGGACTAGAAAGAAGAGGGAGAGAAAGAAGCAACCTAGGAAAGCAAATGACTATTGCAAAGAAAGGAGTGGAGCTTTCATAGTTAGACTGTAACTGAACATAGAATTTTTGCAGGAAGTCTGAGAGGAAACTGGTTGTATGATGAATGATTTATTATACATATGTATATGAAAAGTCAAGATATAGCATGCAACACAGAAAAGAAACTACAAATTCTAACATGCATATTAAACATTCCCATGAACAAGATAGTTATTTCACACAAAAAAACCTGGTTATGCAGTGGTTTCTCCCAGTAGTACATTCTGAAAGACTAAGACTAGTAGTTACACCTCTGTGCAATACAACTGCATTATAATTTCTTAAATTGTTATGTAAATAGTTTTTTTCTGAGTGTAGAAAAATGTGCAAAATAGCTGCAAAGGAGCTATATAAAATCTCCATAAAGGGATTTTAATTTGAAAAAAAAACAACGGACGCGCCCATTATTGTAAACACAGGTTTTTTTTTGGGGGGGGGGTTCATTTTTTTAAAGAGATGACTAAGATTTCTTTTATGGATATATCTGCAGCCTCCATTACAAGTGTTTCATAACTATCAATCAAAGGGACAGAGGTATCTATTTTATAAAACTTTCTGTCTCCATAAAGAAGATATAGTTTGGGGGGGGGGGGAAATCCAAGGAAATCTTTGGGACCTGGTTGTGAGTAATAACCTTAATAGCTTTGGATGTTTCAATTTAAGCTATATCCAACTATTCATAGGGTTAAGTAGTAGCAGACAAAAATCATGCAATTAACTGAAATTCCATTATATTTAGAAAGCCATCCATTTCATGTTACGCAGTTCTATGGAATTTTAAAAATATTTTATATGATAAAGAGGTACCTACACAGCAAGTAATGGTCGAGAAGCTAAAAAAATAAAAAGACTGCCCCTTTTTTCAAGCAAACTGCTATCATATTCCACAGAGTACAACTCCACGCTTTCAGAAAATTGTTTTACCTACACAATGGTTAGTGCCAATTCCTCAAACTTTCCAACCCAAAGAAAAGATGTCATTTAGATCCTGGAAGACAATATAAAAAACATCTAATATTCGCTACAAAGGTTAGTATCCACCAGCAAGCTTGCACATTTAAGCCACATTAAAAGCTCAGTCCTTTCCCCTGATGCAAAGTTAGCCATGCATAGCAGGGAAAAGGCAGAGGCCTTGGGCACACAGAACAATTGAACAGAACACACTAAACAGAGGCACAAGGCTACAGTGGCTGCTTCAGCTTACCATATGTCTCGGATCTACTCTCCTCTGAGCTATACTTTGTCTTCCTGGAGGAGCTATCTGCACGAAAGCAGGAGAAAAGGAGAAAGAGATATAGGAAATATGGAGACCAACATGGAAAAA